ATAGATAACTAATAAGAACCTACTGTATAGCACAGGGAATTCTATTTGACATTATGTACTGGCCTGTATGGGAATAGAATCTAAAAAAGAGTGGATATATGTATATGTATAACTGACTCACTTTGCAGAACAGCAGAGACTAACACAACATTGTAAATCAACTACAATCCAGTTAAAAAAAAATTTAAGTATACAACAGTTGTAAAGAAAATCAAAATGGCTCTTAAACATGAAAAGATGCCTCATTCATAATAAGAGAAATACAAACCAAAGTTACAATGAAATACCTTTCGCATCTATCACGTAGACAAAACTGACCTATGGAAGGCAATTTGGCTATGTATATATATTTATTTTATTGCATCTGGTCTTAGTTGCAGCAAGAGGGATCTTTGTTATGGCCTGTGAACTTAGTTGCAGCATGTGAGATCTAGTTCCCTGACCAGGGATCAAACCCAGGCCCCTTGTATTGGGAGTACAGAGTTTTAGCCAGTGGACCACCAGGGAAGTCCCAGTTTGGCAATATTGATCAACATTTTAAATGTATTCCTTTGACTCAGCAATTTCTCTTTTAGGAATTTTCCTATGGCTATACTCATCAGTATGAAGCAATGTGCTTCAAAAATTCATTGCAGCACTCTGTAATAGCAAGGTATTGAAAACAACTTAGATGTCCATCAATAGTGAGCTTATTTAATAAATTATGGTATATTATAAATAGGAGTAGAGATGCATGTGCACCGCTAGGGAAAAACCTTCAAATGCGAGGCTTATAGGGTATATTAGATTTGAATTACATCTATAAAATGGAAATAATAATCATACCTGCTACAGAGAGCTGTTGTGAACTGTAAATAAATTAAAATACCAAAAGAACTTAGAACAATATCTAGAATACATACCATTACGTATTTACTTACACACATATTGTTAATAAAAAGAACAAGGGGCAGAACAGCATGTACAATTACCTACCATTTGTGTAAAAGAAAAATAAGTATATGGGTAAAATATCCCTTGAAAATTTCACAGTTAATCAGTAACAGTGGTTACCTCTGGACAGAAGAAATAAGGGGCCAGCAGCAAGGCAAGTTATTTTCACTGTCTACCTGTTCAAGTTTTTTTATGTGTATTTGACATCTATTTGAAAAGATAAATTTTTTTTTAAGTAGGAAAGTATCAATCAGAAAAACATAATAAAATTTTATGATATAGAATTATGTTCCAATCTTTCCCATTAGTGTTATTATGTTGAAATGATTCTATATTGCAGTCATTGAATGGTTTTTAAAACACCGCTGCACACTTTCAAGCATAGTGCTTACACCTAAAAAGTGTGGTCCTCAGGCTGGCAACATCTGCATCACCTCAGAACTTGTTAGAAATTCAGAATCCCACCACACACCTATCAAATCAGAATCTATATTTTTAACAAGATTCTCAGGTAATTTGTTTGTAGCATCTTGTTTGAGGTACGAGAAGCACTGAGCCAGAAGACATAATTTAAAAATACAGAAATACAAAACAAAAACACTGCTCTACTCTTGTCTCTTCTCTTCGACTCCCATCTCTCAAAATTGTTGTGGCTCTGAAACCAAGCAGAATTCTATGGGGTCCCTCCTGAGTACAAAAGCCTTTTTGTGTCCTCCGTTTCTGGTTTGGAGGAAAAAGGCTTCGGCCCCATAGACCTTCCCCGAGCTTCAAAGGGCAGATTCAAGCAGTTACTAATTAGGGGAATAAGGGAATGCAGAAACAAAGGAAAGGCAGCCAGGAAACAAGGGGCAGGTTACTATTCCTCCTCAAGGAATATACATCACAAAGTGATACAAATCTCTGAGTCCTTCTGCCTAGGAGGACTAATGCCCCCACCCACGTGGAGGATGGTAATTTCAGACAAAGCACAGGATCCAGACTGGTTAGAACCAGAAGGCTGACTCCTAGAACACCACCCTGTTACCTCATCACCAACCAATCAAAGGAAGGTCCCGCACCCTGCAGCCCTCCAAGCAAATTTCGTCTATAAAAGCTCTTCCTTTTAAGTCCTTAGCACTCCAGTGCCCAGTGCAGGGGGCAAGAGTCTGAGCCTGGTTGGGGAACTCAGATCCCGCAAACCTTGAGGGTACAGCCAAAAACAAAAAAACCTCCCCACACCACTGAGGAGTTCAGCCATTTTGAGCATTTTGAGCCTGTTCTCCTTGCTGGGTTCTTGCCGTAAACCTCTCTCTGCTTCACACTTCAGCATTTTGGTTTGTTTGGCCTCACTGTGCATTGGGTGCATGAACTTGGATCTGACAACAGCTTGATGACTCTGGAAAACATTGCTGAGTGAAAGAAGGCAAACACAAAATAATACAACCTATATGATTCTATTATATGAACTGCAAAACAAGCTACACCAATCAGTGGTGTTTGAAGGCAGGACAGAGGTTACCTCTGGGGAAGAGAGAGGCGGCAGAGATGGGACAGGACCCAAATTGCTCCTGGAGTGTTGGTAACATTCTGTTTCTCGATCTGGTTACTGGTTATTTGGATCTGTTTGTGAAAATTCTTTATGACTATATACTTCTGATTGGTATACACTTTTTATGTCACACTTCAATAAAAAGGTTTTTAAAAATTCCACTATTGGGACTCATCTGGTGGTCAAGTGGTTAAGACTCTGCTCTTCCAATGTAGCGGGCTTGGGTTTGATCTCTTGTAGAGGAACTAAGATTCTGCATGCCATGTGGTACAGACAAAAAATTTATTAAAAAAAAAAAAATTCCACTATTATCACCTACCTCAAACCCCATGACTGTTGCAGGGGGGCCAAGGTCCAAGGTGCCTTGGGAAAAGAGACTGAGTTGAAAAAGTTACTTACACCGATTTTAATTACTGACAATTTCAATTTAGATAGATTACTTTGTCACACACACACTTATTGGAACTCCTGTGCATTTTTAAAACATGTATTTATTATTTATTTGGCCTGCCATGTGGCATGTGGGATCTTAGTTCCTGGACCAGAAGTCAAACCTATGCCCCCTGCAGAGGAAGTGCGGAGTCTTAACCACTGGACCACCAGAAGTCCCATCTTGTGCATTTTTAAAGGCACCTACTATTGACAAGCAGTCACCCAAAAGATGACATGATTGCAATGAAACTTCCAGACACTCTCTGGTGTGGTATGAGAATTGCACAGGCTCTGCTCTCTGACATAGTAGATTTAAAGTCTGGATCAACCATTTGTCAGTTACATAACCTTAGACAAGTTACTTATTCTGCATTTCTGTCCTTTCAAAGGATAATTATAGTCCCATTTTATAGGAATATTCCCTGTATTAAGTGAGATAATATACATGAAGCACCAGGCACTATACCTGACACATAACAGGAGTCCATTAATAGTAGACGATTATTTAGATGTAAAGATCTCCCAAGATGTAAAGGCCATGGGGTCATAAAGAGTCAGACACAACTGAGCGACTGAACTAACTGAAAGGTCTCCCAGTCAGTAATTCCCAAACACTACCTCACAGATAATCATTACCTGCTGCTGCTGCTAAGTCACTTCAGTCGTGTCCGACTCTGTGCGACCCCATAGACGGCAGCCCACCAGGCTCCGCTGTCCACAGGATTCTTTAGGCAAGAATATTGGAGTGGGGTGCCATTTCCTTCTCCAAATCATTACCTGCAGTTAAAGCTAATCACAAGCAGGAAAGATTCTGAAAGCCTGAAAGTTACTTCGGGTCTCATGATCCACGTGGGAACAAGAATCTGGAGTTCCAGTAACAGGTTTTTCAGGATATTTGCTTTCAAAAAGTATCCACCCCATTCCACTGCCCTCAGCCAGCCGTGCAATACCTGCGTCCCTCCCAGTCTTCCCACACCCCTCGACAAAGAGTGGCCATTTCTCACGCCTCCTGTGGCTCATTCCCATTAGCTTGCTCTAAAAGCTTCTGAAGTTTTCAGGTGGAAATACTTGAAAGCAAACTTCATGCTCTTATTTCTAATCCCCAAGAGGCTCACCATTCTCTTTGCCCACTTTTCAGTTTCCTGGGTCCAGGCGACATTGTGAAGGTGAGCGCTGTCTCCACACCCAACAGAGTCTGATAGAGGGTTAGGAGGCAGCCAAAGTAGTCTCTTTGTCTCTATTCCAAGATAAAGAACTTTTTCAAAACACTTGCATTTTCAAAGGTCATTGGTGGTAGGATTATAGGTATTTGGCATTTTTAAAATGACTTTCAGCATTTTCCTAATTATCTCTATGTATTATCTTTACTATAAGATTCTTTGGGACCGTCTGTAATTACAAAAGCATTTTGTGCCTAATGCAGAAAACTTGGGAAACATAAAGGAAAAAGAAAAGTCCCCTTAAAGACATCATGTAAAGATAACAGCTGTTAACATTTTGGCAAATGTCTTTCCACACTTTTCTCTCTGCAAAGATGCCTCATTTTTGTGATCTGGAAAGAAAAGTAAACATTTAAGAGACAAAGCCTTGAGTCTTTAGTCTTCAATTTATTTCTGTTTTTAAACAGCGTCTAACATCTTGGAAAAGTCCCTATCAGCAAGGGCCTGCCCCATTCATTCCCAGAGGCTCCCCTAGTCAGGGCTGGGGTCCAGGCTCCAGTTACTCCCCTTCAGCCACACCAGTCACCAGGCCTATTTTCTCTCCATCTCTGGAGACATGGAACAGAAGAGGGTCTCCAGTTAGAGGCAAAATTGGAACTAAGGGATGCTGCATGGAAGGACTGGGCTGAGACACAGCTGCCTTTGTTAGTCTTGGGATATTTTGGGATATGGTAGCATGCTCAGCGGAGAAGGCAATGGCACCCCGCTCCAGTACTCTTGCCTGGAAAATCCCACGGACGGCGGAGCCTGGTAGGCTGCAGTCCATGGGGTCGCTAAGAGTCGGACACAACTGAGCAACTTCACTTTCACTTTTCACTTTCATGCATTGGAGAAGGAAATGGCAACCCACTCCAGTATTCTTGCCTGGAGAATCCCAGGGACAGGGGAGCCTGGTGGGCTGCCACCTATGGGGTCACACAGAGTCAGACATGACTGAAGTGACTTAGCAGTAGCAGCAGCATGCTCAGACAGGAGGGCGTGAAGAGGGGCTCCTGGACTCCTCTCTGGCCTCATTCATTCCTGGGCAAATTGCACAGCACCCCTTCCTCTTGCCCAGCTCCTCAGTGTACTGCCTTTAAAAGCTGGGCAAAGGATGGCCCATGACATTCAGCATTCCTGACCATGATCTGCTCAGCTGCTCTTTACTCCTGACCTAGACAGGATGGGTAACAGGGAAGGTGACAACAATTCAGACCTGAGTGTCCCACTACCTCACGCTATAGAGCTCGGGACCCGACTGTACCAATCCCTTACCCAGTCTCACCTAAAGGGGAATAATACAAGGGCATCTCTTTGTGAGGAGGGGCAAACCTGGACATTTAAACCCCAAGCACAGGCACAGATGGGCCCCCAGGCCAGAGACGCCTCAATGCATGCACTGAAGCAGCAGGGCCGCTCAGCTGGGAGATAGGGGCCCCAACTTCTCTCCACACCCATGGTAACCATGGAAACATAACCACCCCCTCTGCCAGCTGCCTGCATTTAGACAACCAGGCCTGGCCCACCTCCACCCAGCAGAGGCCTGAACTGATGCCAGGCCGGCCACAGAGTTTTGCAGGAAGAACTGGGATTGGGTGATGTGGTCAGTCCAGGCTTCCAGCACAGCTCAGGAGGGCTACCACAGGAGCCTCCACGCCTTGCCGCCTGGGCTGGGGTCAGACGGGGCTTAGTCAGCCAGCACAGCGGCCCGCAGAGCCAGCCACGTGGCCCCGGATGCCCTCGGCCTATGGGCTAACAGCTACTGTGGGGCAGTAGCCCCTGCTGCAGTAGCAGCAGCCTCTGAGACTCAGTGACGGGGCTCTCTGGCTGCTGCTCCCCCTGCCCAGGCCGCTCAGCCAGCTCCCCAGGGCTGAGGATGTACCGATAGTCACTGGGGGTGCCCCCCACGGCCCCCAGGCCACTGCCATCCCCCGCCCCGCTGCTGGCCTGGTCCCCGCCAGGCAGCTCCAGGTCGCCTCCCTCAGTAGGCTCCTGGGCCCCCTCAAGGTTGATGTACAAGGGGTCCTGGCTGGCGGACAGTACAGACAGGCGGCCCAGGACCGTCTCCAACTCCATTCGTAGACACGTGAAGCTTGGGCGCTGCTTGGGGTCGGCACTCCAGCATTGGTACATGAGCTCATACCTGGGACAGAGAGAAGGGGGAGGGGAGGGAGTGAGGAGCCAGAGAAAGGGGAAGAAGGGTCCTCCTCTCAAAAGCAGGGGCCCCTAAAGTAATTAGCCTCCAACTAATAAAAAAAAAAAAAAAAAAAAGCAGGGGCCCCTTTATTATATGAAACCACAATTTTAAAAGATGTGATTGTGGAAGTTCCCTGGTGGCCTAGTGGTTAGGATTCTGGCTTTCGCTGCCGTGGCCCAGATTCAGTCTCTGGTCAAGGAACTGAGATCCTGAAAGCCACATGGCAAGGTCAAATATATATAAATCGAACACTCTGTGTCTGGCACTATTTACTGGCACTATGGGTTTACTGTGTATCTGGCACTATTCTAAGTATTTTATATTTATTACTAATTCTCACAATATTATGAAATAAGTGATTCCTACTCTACCAATGTTGAAAAAAAGGCACAGAGAGGTAAAGAACATTGACTAAGGTCACACAAGTAGAAAGTGATGAAACCAGGTGGGTAGGGTCTAGAGTCCCTCTTCTGCTGTTTTGGGAGGGGGTAGTAGGAGTGTTTTTTGTCCTGTGAAACACAGCCAGGAGTCAGGGTTATCTGGAGGAGAGTGAGATTTGAGCGTTCACCCTTTGTCCTAAATCCTCATCCATTCAGGAGGTTTTAAACCTTCATTGTTCATGGACACCTTTGAAAATCAGAAAAGCTTCCAGCCCCTTCCCTGGCAGCAACATTTTTTATGTACAACTTTAGGAGCTTTATAGATTCCCTGAGGTCTTATTCCTATTCCCAGGGAATGCCTTATGCTGAAGGAAAAAAAAAATCTAACAGGAAGGGGCTGAGACCAGATCTAGTCAGAGCAAATGCCTGACTTTCTTGCCTGTGCCCACAGTAAAAGCCCCAAACACTCCCCACATACCAGGCCTCCTGACAGTGGCCTCCAATGATGGGGGGAAAATCATGCCAGACACTGAATAGGTCGTGGGAATGGTCCAGGCCATGGCTGTGTGGCTGGGCTGGGATATACTGTCAAGGCCGTGCCAGGAGCCAACTGGCGCCTGTCCACAGGCTGCCTGGTGCGAAGCCAGCGCCCGCCCACCCCCTACTAACAACACTAACTTCAGTCCTGAATGACACTAAGCCAGGGCCTGGTCCCCACTGCCCAGCAGAGCCACTGTGGCTTCAGAGGCCCAGGCAGGCTGCAGCCACCGGGAGACCTGAGTTTTCGGACTTCCCTGAGCTCTGTTGAGGGGGAAGCCCTGGTTTGTGCACTCAGATTTCCCTCTCTCCCACAGTCCAGCCTCAGGGGCCTTCAAAGCCCCTACCCTAGAAGAAAGAGGATCCCACCACTCAGGCTGAGGCTTCCTCTGCCTGTCTCCATTCTTGCACCTCTGGAGGTCCAACCCCAGAGCAGGAAATAGGTTTGTAGCCTCCCATCCCCTAGTACTAATGCAAAGGTCTTATGGGGGCCCAGGGAAACTCTGGCTTGCATGGCATGGGAGAATAATACTAGAATAGACAAGTCATAGTGGGGGTCATGTTTAATAGGCACATTCTAAAATCACATAGATCTAGGTTCAAGTCTCAACTTATTCACTTAATAGCTGTGTGACATGGGTCGCGTTACCTAACCTCTTTAATCCTAATTCTTCATCTACAAAATGGGGATAATAATAGTCTTTTCCTCATAGGGTTAGAGGAGGATTACCTGAAAGAATGCCTGTGAAGTAGCCAGTTGATGTTAGCGATACTGTGTTCTAGTTACAAGGGGTTCATGACTCTCCCCCGAGCAGCAAGTGTATCACCATCCCGCCCCATTCCCAAGGGGTCCAGGCTTCCAGAAAGGAGGGAAGACAGTGCCCTTCTCCCCAGGATTGCAGTCTGTTATCTTAGGTCTCTCCACTCCCCCAGAGCAGAGGCCCAGATAAGAAAGGAACCCAACCTCCCACCCCCAGCGCCCCCTCCCTGTCAAGCAAGGAATGCGATGGAGCAGCAGTTTTTCCCAGCCCCCATGGAGCACTCCCGGAGGGGGAGGGACGCTCGCTCAGCTTTGGAGGAGTCTGGGTGGAGAAAGGTAACAGAGGAACCTGCACTGTTGCTCAACCCTGGACCTTCTGTCCCTGGGGGCGGGGGGTGGATTCCTGGTTCTCCCTGGAATCTGGAGAAAATGAACAATAGGTAAAGACTGGAGGAAGAACTATAGGATGATAAAGGAGGAGAGAAAGGAAACAGGAGTCGTAGATGAGAAAGTTCGGGGTAGAAGTCAGACTCGCTTCTAATGACAAGGATATTACCACAAAAGTTCAGTTGAGGATCACAGCCCCCACCAGGACCGAAGGTGTGGTGGTAGCCGTCACCTGAAACCCCATACACCTGTCCCCACCCAGAATCCCCTTCTGGGGGCACTCACACGTCTTCCATACACTCCGGAGGCTGTTTCAGGCGGTTCCCGCCGATGAGGTAGTTGTAAATCTCAGCGTTCTCGATGCCGGCATATGGCGTCTGCCCACGAGTCATGATCTCCCACATGGTCACCCCGAAGGCCCACTGGGACAGAATCGAGGTTGGACGGGAGGTGTCACTAGGCTTCCTAAGCCAGGCAGTCTCGAAGCGAGCACATCTTGGGGCTCAGGGGCCTCGGGATGGGACAGCCAGAGCCCAGAGGGCCGAGTGGGCTAGGCCCTCGGAGAGGCTACAGGTCCACCCACGCACTGACCACAGCACTGCCGTCACCACCTGCTCACCACGTCACTGTGCACAGTGTACAGGTTGTCAGCCAGGCTCTCCAGGGCCAGCCACTTAACAGGCAGTTTGGAGGCACAGCCCTGACGATAGTAGTCCCCACTGTAGATCTTCCGGGAGAGTCCAAAGTCAGCCACACACACTGTCATGTCTTCTGCCAGCCTGGGAGGGGTTGGAGGATGGGGTCAGCCTTCCACCAGGCCGCAGCCTTAGTAAATCCAGGGTGTCCTTGTCCCCAAGCCATCTCCTCACAGAGCAGATACTGTCCCAGTCGGGGGCTAGTTCTTCCTGGCATTGCTTCCTGCCTCCCACCCGAACCCTCCCAAATTCACATACATGCAGTTCCGAGCAGCCAGGTCTCGGTGGATAAAGTTCCGGGAGCTCAGATACTCCATGCCACAGGCAATGTCCACCATGAACCGGACCAGGGTCTGCAGCGGCAGGTTCTGGTGGGCAGACAGGACAGCAAGCTCAGGACAGACCTAGCCAGGGCAGGAGGAACGGGGTTCCCTGCCCAGGAAACCTAACAACCGTCCTCAGAATCGCTGAAAGAAAGGGGGTGGAAGGGCTTCCCAAGGCAAGGAAGCTTTGGCAAACCTGAGGGAGAGCACCCAAAAGTCAAGACTGTCCCAATCTGGGGCCCCATGGGGCTCCTCTCCCGGGAAGGGGCCTGGCCAAGCCTCAATTCCCAATGGGGACTTGCGAGGGAGAAGGAAGCCTGTTAGCAATAAAAGTCAGACTTGGAGCCTACCTTCTCCCAACCAACTCAAACAGCCCTGTCCACCAAGCCAACCTCTCTCCCAGGGTTTCTGGGCCTTTCCAACTCCCGGCCACTCGCACCCCAGGCACTCACGAAGGGGTTCTCGCCAATCCGGGAGGAGAGCAGGAAGGCATGCAGGTCCCCGTGCTTCATGAAAGGCAGGATGACCATGGGGATGGGAAGACGGCCTTTGGCCCTGCTCCGGAGGCTCACCCCTGGGGGCAAGGGGGGGTCAGAGGGGCACATAAAGGTCAAGGGACAGTCCAAGCATCTGCGCGCGTCCCCACCTGCTGGCCCTTCCTCTAGCCCTGGCTCTGCTACCTCTTTCTGCATAAGTTCCACACTGGCCTGGAGACTCCCTAGGAGTCATTCTGGCTGCCCTTGAATCTCTGGAGCATCTTCTCTGTCTCCTCCTCCTCTGTTTACCCAAGCAGTCGTCAAGGTACAGGGTCTGCAAACTGAGCTCCTTACCTGGGGCCTGATCAGATCTCAGCCACGCCCCGCCTTGCTGTTTTGGTGTTTGCTTACTCACCGGGCAAGTCCGAGCTTCTCCCCACAGGCTGCCCTGGCACCTTGGGGGAGCACGTTTTAGCCTCATTTTACATTTACCTCCCCCAAGAAGGGACTCACCAACAAGCTTGGCCACGTGTGGGTGGTCAAACTCCTTCATGCAAGCCGCTTCCCTGAGGAACTCTTCAATGTCGCTCGAGGCAATGATGTCAGCTGGGAGGAAAGGAGGGAGGGAAGGAGGGAGACGTGACCACCGTGGGTGTGGGGAAACAGTCTGGTCATGAGCAGGAGGAAACCCCACAGGCTGGTCTGTCCAACATCTCCACTCGCTCATGCTTTCGCTTTGGTTTGGACAGCCAAACCACTCAACCAACCACAGCTTTAGTCACCCCGAGTGAAACCAGAGGACAGTCACTGCTGAGGCAGAGGACAGAGGCTCGGGCACCAAGGAGTGTGGGTTTATGCCTGTGAATTATTCACGTGGCACAGAAAGTATCCCAGTTAGCACTGAATAACACATCTTGGAAAGTCTAGGGGCCCAGCAGAGCCTGCTTCAGAATCAGCCCCTTCTTTCACCTTCCCAAGTGACACCCTCACTCCACTATAGTAATATTCTCTACTCACCTTTCAGCATCTTTACAGCCACTTTCACAAAGGAGCCATCCTCCTGCTTCAACTGGGCCTCCCGCACTGAACCAAACTCTCCTAGGAACCGATCCAAACAATGGTGAGTCCCCTTGGCCTCTTGCTCCTCACTCACCTCCCCAGTGATCCTTCATAGGGACACAGTATCACTTTCTGGGGCCACTGAAGAAGGCTCCCTCATTCAGAGCAAAGCAAAGTAAGCTAGGAGTGATGACACCTCAGCCTTTCTCGACCGCAGCCTCCATTCCCCTAAACATCCAGCAGCCAGGAGATTATGAGCATATCCTGTTCATAGGAGCTGACCTACATCCACAGCCCCAGAGTGACATGGAAGCAACCAGACACACCCAGCCCCGGCAGCTCACGCCCGTCCCTGCTCAGCCCCACACACCTTTACCCAACATCCGGCCCAGGGTGAACTGCTGCTCCGGGATGAGCACATCTTCCAGTTTGTCCTTCAGCTCATCACTGATGCCCAAACTGTCCACTGTGGGGAGGTGGCCATAAGAAAGTGCAGGGACCTCTCTGGTCCTGATCCAAAACTCAGTCTGCCTCCTCCACCCCAGACGCCACCCTCAAAGCAGAGGTGAGCTTTATTCAGCTCCCCCACAGCTGGGCTGGCGATCTCTGCCAGGATAGGTCTACGTGTCTTTTCCATGGTGTGCCTAGGACTCAGCAAGGTTCAGACCTATTGGTCAAATCAGTAAGAGAAAGGCAGGTGCGGGTTCAAGACAGCTCATTCCTTCCTCATATGACTCCCCACCACTCACTCACGTGTGGCCTCGATGCGTTCAGGCCTTTCCCGATTGAAGGACCGTGCTGCCCGGAAGTGAACAGCTGGCTCCCCCCGGGCCATGACGCTGTCAAAGGCTTGCCTAAAAGGAGACCCAGGACTTGGAGTCCGCTCCAAGGTCTTCAGTAAGTGCCTGCCTCTCTCTCCATGTCCCCAGCCCTTACCCAAACCGTGTCTCCTTCCTCCTCTTTCGAAGCAGGATGAGGGCCAGGGCAGCAGCTGTCACCAAGGCTGTCAGCACACCCAGGACCACCGGCACCCAGGATGTGCGGCTGTGGGGAGCACCCTGCTGGCCTGCGAGAGACAGGGGCAGTAGCACGAGCTAGGCTGACACCACAGAGGCCCTTTAGAATTTTTAAATGACGGTCACTAAGCCTGATCCAATGGCTCCTCTCAGTCAGTAAGGGAGCAGAGTGGAAAGAGGCTCCAAAGGAAGACCCAAGGGTTTCTACTGTCAGCCACAGGCCCTGGCTGTTGGGACCTACAGTGTGCTAGCTATAGGTCTATGCTAGCTTGCAGGGCATGGGGGTGGAGGATGAGATACAACCCTGGCCTCAAGTGCTTGACTCTGAGTCTTCGGGCCTCTTAGGAGGGGAGGTGCTGCCAATCGCCTCCCATCAGTCCAGGTGGCCCTGGAAAGCCTCAACCCCATGGCCCCTTCCCCTTATAGGCCTTACCTGCGTGGTCATGAGAAGAGACCACCAGTGGCTGACTCCAGGGCCCACAGCCAACTGCATTGCTGACACACACACGCACAGTCAGGTCCTTCTGGGGGTCCCAGCCCGTCAGGTTGGCCCTGGTCCCCTCCACCGTCATCTCACCCTGTAGCCAGGAAAAGCCCCCATCCCACACTGAGCCTGAGGAAAAAGGCTCCAGCTGGGTGGGGCCTGAAGGCAGAAAAAGATCTCACTAGGAAGATGGGCGGCGAGGAACACTGTGGGTTCAGGGGATGCAGGGACACAACCTGCTGGGAGTCATCACATTCCTGCTGCAGGCTGCAGAGGCCTCTCCTGAACACAAACAAGGCTCAGTCTGAGAAAGCGGGGGTGGGGGATGGGAGGGAACCGAGGGGTGGAAGAGGATAAGAAGGCCTTATCTGCGTCCTCCCCCGTTTGTGCAGGAATGTACTTCCTGCCTGACTTTCAAAGTGGACACTGGAAGCAGTCTTAACAGGAGATGGACTCCAATGAAGAAGGCAGCCTGCAGAGGAGGGCAGGATGGTGTAGACTCCCAGCGGTGGTGGAAGGCCCACCACGGCCCCTGGGCTCACCAAGGACCGCTAACCTGAATCTTGAAGGGCCTCAGAGCCCTGACGGCTGACTCTAGTGCACCTGGAGAGTGGAAGTTTCCCTTACCTGGGTACCGTTGTCTTGAGCCCAGGACATTTTATAGGGTCCCAGGGGGCCTTCTGAAGGGCCCTCGGGGATCACTTCTTCCCACTCCAGGATGAGGCCAGAGTCTGTGCGGATGGCACGGAGGTTCTGGGGAGCACTGGCTGGGGCTGTTCCCAAAGAGAGAAGCTTGGTAAGAGCCCTGCCCTGCCTGCGCACCATCACTAGCCCATGTGGGCCTTCGGAACCGGCTCCATAGAACTAAACTGCTCAGAGAGCAACAGGTGGGGGAACAGTTTGTCTGCCATTGCTGACTGCTATTACCCGCTGTCCTGGGGAGTAGGGGTGAGCAATAGCAAGGCCCGGACCATCCCAACGAGGCAGGGTACTGCTCTTCATCACCTTGGTTGCTCCTCCGTGGCATCCTTCACTCTCCTCTCCTCACAGCCCTGCAGCCTCCTTGCAGTTGCTAGGAACTCCACGCATGTTTGTGCTATAGGGTCACTGCGCCCTCTTTCTGCAGGGATTTCCCCCCAAATATGGGTCCTTCCTTATCATTCAGACCTCAGATCTCTGTATCCAGGTATTCCCGGAGCCCCCTAGGGCACTCTTTATCACCGTACTATCCAATCTTTTCTGCTTGTCTGCCCCACCCACTAGAACTAGAGCTGCTGGATGGGGGCTGGATTTATCCAGTTCACAGGTAAGCAGCAAGCACTCAGTGAAGTGCTGGCTGACGGATGTATGATCCCTCCCTCAGGTAACCCTCTTTCAATCAACTCCATTCAGAACTGGAGCTGACACTACCCGCCCCCGCTCATCTCTGCCCAGGCACTCTGCTCTCTAAGTCCTTTACCTAGACCCTTCGTCCGAAAGGGCACCCAGTCAGCATATGGAGATGGCCCCAAGGCATTAGCACAGCGAACCCTGAGGCTGTAGTTGGTGGCAGGTGTCAGGTCCCGAAGCAGGCAGGTAAAAGGTGGCACGGGGACCATGACAGCCAGAACCTCCCAGTCTCCTGGGGCCTGAGTCACCTACAGAATAGCAGAAAATCAATGATGTAAGGGAGGGAGGTTTCTTAGGCATGTGAGATGAGATGGAAGGTAGGATAGGAATGGATATGACTGGGGGCTTTAATCTATGCCTCTTCAAGTCTATCAGTGGAGTAACCAAGACATGGAAGCAACCTAATGTCCACCAAGAGATGGATGGATAAAGAAGATGTGGTATGTGTATGTATACACACATATATGTGGGTATATATATATATACCCAATGAAATATTACTCAACCATAAAAAATGAAATAATGCCATCTGCCGCAACATGGATGGACCTAGAGATTATCATACTAAGCAAAACAAGTCAGAAAGAGAAAGACAAACACCACATGATGGCACTTACACGTGGAATCTGAAATACAACAAAAATGAATACATATATGAGGCAGAAGCAGACTCACAGACATAAAGAACCAATGTGTGGCTGCCAAAGCGGGGGGTGGGGGAGAGGGAAGGATTGGGAGTTGGGGATTAGCAGATGCAAATTACTATACATAGGATGGGTAAACAACAAGGACCTACTGTATAGCCAAGGAAATATATTCAATGTCCTGAGATAAATCATAATGGAAAATGAAGAACACATATATCTATAACTGAATCACTTTGCTGTATTGCAGAAATTAACACAACACTGTAGATCAACTATACTTCAATTAAATAAAAAAACTATCAGCAGGCATTTATAACCCATCCCTTCCCACACTCCCCCACTACACATTCCACACCTCTACGTCTTTGCAAATTCTGTTCCCTTTGCTGGAAGTGACCTGCTCTTCCTAATGAAGTCCAACTCATCCTTCAAGATTCAGTGCAAATATCACTTTCTCTGTGAAACACTTTCTCAAATACTCAGTAAAATTGATGCCCCTTTGTGGACATGAGTTTGAGTAAACTCCAGGCGTTGGTGATGGACAGGGAGGCCTGGCGTGCTGAGATTCATAGGGTCGCAAAGAGTCAGACACGACTGAGCACCTGAACTGAACTGAACTGTGCTTGATGCATAATTGTTAGAGTGGATACCACTCTTTGTATTCATTTGGCAAAAAAGCTTGTTTACATTTCCAAAAGTTGTTACAGAAGAACCCAAACTTTTTGGCCAACCCTGTAACTGTTTAAATGCCAGCCCAGCGTCTCAGAGCTTCTCAAGGGCAAAGTGCCTAGGAGCTTGGGGTCACCATGAGCCTGGCCTGAACCTTACAGTTTGGGGTCCCAGGGCAAGAGTACAAATAGGGAGATCCAGTGTACCATATGACTAAACATTATGATTTTATATGATTTTAAATGTTAAAAATCAGCTAACAGGATATTAAGTAAAATAATTTCTATCTTAATATACTGACAAACAAAGCTACAAAACAACCTGGAAGATCAGGTTTGCATTTATCTACAATTCTCTGAATCCTTGGAGTTCCAAGCCTGAATGAGACAGCACAAGAAGAGCCAGCCTCCAGGCAAGGGTCTGCACCATGAGGGACATCATGTGCATGGGTGTGGACAGTGACGTCCATACCCATTCCCCCTCAGATGGCTGTCCTTGGGGCTTAGGGGTGCATGTACCTCAGTGTGACCCATCCTTGGGAGGATGGAGCAGGGAAGAACCCGATATCAGCCCCAGAAGTAGACAGATTTAAGAACAGGGGGTGTCCTGGTGAGCTGGACGGGTATATTTCCTTGGCCATATGTATTCCCTGCCCAGGGGCAAGAGGTGCAACCAAAGGAGGGCCAGAGTGGGGTCCTCTAAAGGGGGGAACCCAGAGCAGGGCCCTTTGCTGCCCAGGAGAACTGCCTAAAACTGTTTCAAAGGTTCCCCTTTAATAGCTTTGAAGTGAACAGACAAAAACGAACAAGCTGGCATTGCCTCATTTTTAGATCACTTTACTTAGCCCTCCCACTCTCTAATGCCCAGGACCTCTTCTGGTCCCCTGTTCTCTGAGGCCTGAGTCAGGGTGTGGAGCATGAGAGTATAGGCATCAGATAAACCAAAGCTTTGGGGTTTTGCCCACATAAGTAAAACTCTTACAGGGTATCCCCAGTCTGACCCACCGATCTGTTTTCTGGCCGGAAGAAAGCACAGGCGGAACTGATCTGCCATCACTTGTTTGCCAGAGCCCCCTGTGATAAGGGGCAACGGCCAGGGCTGTTCCTGGTAAGGGAATGACACCTGAATAGAGCTGGAGTCCAAGCCCCGAGGGCAAGACTAAGTAAATGTGATACCACTGTCAACCAAGTGCCACCAGGACAGCCAGAAGGAGGAGGGCCAGGAGAGCCTGTCCCACCCTCTCAGCCTACCTGGACTGTACAGGATTGGATCAGGGCTCGGCCGTCGGACCCCGGCACCCAGGCCACGCTAACGTTGCTGCTGGAGAGCTTCGTCACTGTGATGTTGAAGGGGGCTGCGGGCAGTGCTGCAGATGGGGACGTGGAGTCAGTGCCCAGGAAGGACAGAGAAAGGGAGAGAGTATGGGAGTGGAGCCTGGAGTCCCTCCCTAGGGTTTCCCCCACCAAAATGAGGGCCACTCAGCACTCCCAGGACCACAGTAATACAGAAGCCAAGCAACCAGCAGCAGACAGGGGCTCATACCTGGGAGAGGGCCTAGGCTATGGAGATAGGTCGCCTCTCCCTGAATCAAAAGCCTTGTCTAATCAAGGAATAGGATAAGACAGTGGATGGGTGGGGGACACAGTATCTCAGCCTTGGGAGATACCAGCGAGAGGCAAGTGGCCCTGCAGCCACAGCCCATTTCCGAGCATACAACAGCTCTCTCTCTCTCCCTCTGTACCCCTCCCACCGTGCACAGCAGCCGTCTGGGTCTCTACCATCCTGCTAGGCTGTTTCCCCCACCCCCATTCCCTCCACAGGGGCTGGAGAAGCAAGACTGGGCATGAGCCTTGACCGTCTCCTGCTAGCTCCCGCTCCTCTTCCCTCCCAAGGACTCTGCTCCGAGATGGGAAATCTGCTGTGACGTCAGGTTTCTATTCTCATCGCAGCCGTGCAGGGTCTCAGGTGCTCCCACTAGGAATGGAGCTATGCCAATTAACCCCTCATCCCCCAGATCCCAGCAAGACCGAGGCGAGTTGGAACACCAAACAATTCTAACTTCACCCACAGCCTTCAGAGAGGGCCTCTGCCTCACCGCCCCTCACTTTCTGGGGTCCTCCTACCTTGAAGATGAACAGTGGCCGTGCGAGAAGAGGCCAGGCCTTTTGGGTTGTGAGCTTCACAGGAGAACACAGTGCTCTGGGTCACCCCTGGGGCCAGAAAACTTTAATTAGCGTGCCCTGAGCATCAACTCCCACTCGGTCTGGGATTGGGGAAGGGGGATAGCCAGGCTCTGGGTCTGATTAGCTTAATACCCTCCAGCCAAAAGAAAGGGTTAGACCAAAGGGACCATGATATAAATCCCAAGGCTGGGGCTCTGTTTTCTCATCTCCTGAAAGGCAGAGTTGTGAGAACCAACTGATGTAACATATGTAAAGTGCACAGTAAAACACTTGAGAAATGTGACATGTGACACCCCCCACCCCCACTTCAATCCCATCTCTGGCAGACAGCACAAAGTTGCCTCCCTTTTCTGGTCACTCCTTTGCACATTCCAGAGAGCCCTTCTGTATTTGCTCTGTGCCAAACATTGTTCTATTTGCAAATTCTCTGCCTTTCAGTAGTTCTTGGCTCCTGATGGCACCAGTCTTGTCTCCCCAATTATACTAATTCCTAGGGGGCTGGACCGATGGCTTCTCTCTCTTTTGTATTCCCTAGATCCCCCATGGTGCCTAGCACAGAGTGGTGTGTGGAGTAGGAGTTCAGTGAGTGCTTATTATCTAGCTGGCTGCCTGAGGATCCCAACCACGCACTTCTGGAGAGAACTGAACCCGACCTTCCTTCTCATCTGCTCCAAAACAGTGCCTCCAGAAGGGGACCTGCCCTTCCAACGGATCCTGCAGTTCATCTCTTTTCAAATTCCTAAGGGACTTGGCAGATCAGCGTCCATCCCTCCCAACTTCCAGTACATGAGACCAAGCTCAGATGCCCATCTTTTTCGGCCAGTTCAAGCCTCCACCAGAAAAAATAACTTTGTTTCACACATGAGGGAGGCTTACAGGGCGTGAAGTTGTGCCTGGGGATCTTGGGGTCCATGTGGTGCAGGCATGGCGGCTTTGGTTTAACTGTATAGAGGCATGGGAAAGGTCTGGAGATTTTCTGGAAAGGGCCATTAGAAGAGTAGGCTCGTGTAACTGTCTGTGCACTGGCTTCACCTTCCCCCTTTTCCTACCCCCTCCCCCCCACTATCCCCAACTCTGCAGCCTGAGACTCTTGTCTTTTAGACAAGTCTGCCAGACACAACTCCTAGCTCTGCGTGGGCTGGTTCCTGGCTCTTTCCCTTGGGGGGGGGGGGGGGGGGCGGAAATGGGTGCCCTTGGTCCTACACATTCACCTCCCAGGGCCAGCTGTGTGCGGCCTAAACTACTGTGAACTAGCCTGCTGAGAACGAAGGCAAGAGGCTCCAGAGTCTCCTTAAGCACACACAGCAGGCTTACCACAAATCAGCCCACCCGGCCAGTCTAGCACACCTGACTAATGAGCTTAGTAATGGTGCGGGTCACGTTCTCAGGCACTCTGGACACTCACAACAGCACGCTCAGTGACTGAAGCAGGTTTGAACTCTGTCAGCCTCACCACCTCTGCTCAAAGCCCCTCCGGAGGCTGCTCACCTGTGACATTTAAAACAGAAGGAGAGGGAGCAGGTCCCCCAACCTGCGTGCCTCCTCTCCACCAGATAATGGTAACAGGTTCCGGGGGCCCCACGGCCTCACAAAACAGTTGGAAAGGGGCATTAGGCGGTACTGCCAGGTCTTTTGGCTCCACAGTGAAAAATGGCACACCTAGGGGTAAAAGGCAGGCGAGGAGTGAGCCTTGAGAGACAGATTCTCCCTTCTCTAGCAGCCCTTCTCAAAGCCAGGGAAGAGGCAGACGATAGGGAGCTGGGGGGAGGGGTAGCAGGGAGGGGGAGTGGGCGGGAGCCTTAGCAGAGTTCTGCTGGCAAGCCCCAGATCCCATTCAGGGGCCTTTGTTACTTTCTTAGTCACTTTGTTTTCCTGGGCTTAACAGCTCTGAGCTCCTGCAGCTGTGGAGCCTTCCTCCCCTCTCCCAGTCCTCCCCCTCCTGGCCTGGCCACTTTGCAGAAAAGGGTCTAGCCCCAGATGGGTGCTCAAGGCTTGTTTGTCAGACAACTAGAACTCGACTGCACCCCATAGATGATGGGTCCTAGTTGTCCCCTTGGCTCTCAAATCCCCAGACTCCAGTGGGTAGGTCTTGCATGTAGGGGCTGGGCCTGGAGTCTGGTGCAATCTGGTCCCAGAAGGCAGTGGGGCCGCCCAGATTCCACTGAGTTTCCTTGGGCATAGGTGTGGTCCCTAGCAGACAGCGCCTGCTCCAGGTCAACACGCCCAGGTGGCTCTGCCTCCTCACCTTCTACCGTGAGCCACACTGGCTGGGAGGTCTCGGTTTCGCCGCCATCCTCCACCTGGCACCAGTACCGGCCCGCATCAGAGCGCTCCACTGACTTCAGGCTGTGAAAACAGGACACCAGGCCTCCCAGAGTCAAGGGGGCAGCTCTGCTGGGCAGACTCAATGGGTTCAGCCTGCCCCCACTTCTGGAAGTATCCACAGGTGGCCGAATTAAAAAAAAAAAACAAACCACAGACCTCTGAGCATCAGCGTTGCCCCCAGCTCCCAAATCCCATGGAAAAACACAACATGCCCCCAGACTGGCATCCCAAACCCTCCCCCAGTCCTGCACCTGAGGAAGCCAATCCAGTGCTGCTCACTGACGGGGATGTACACCTGATCCATGCTGTGGACCACAGCCCCGTCCTTCACCCACTGGATCTCAGGCTCTTCCATCCCCTCCACACTGCAGTTGAGCTTCACCGGCTGTCCCTGAGACACCGTCAGCTTCACTGGGGCCCCCATGAGCTTCAGGCCTGAGAGGTGGGAAAGAGAATGTGTCATTCTGCTTGACAGGCACCCTGCATCTGGAAATATCCCCCATCCTCTCCTGGCACCTAGTTTCTGTGTCAGAAGGCTCATTCCTAGCCAGTGGCCAAGGAAGCAGAGGCAGGACAGTGTGGGAGGGAAGGTGGACTAACCAGGGCTGCGGGAGGTAACATGACAAGCTCTCCAGGCACCATTTCTACCAGTGCCAACTTCCTCCCAGCTGTAAGGAAGTGACCTGTTCCCCATACCTCCCTGCTGAGCAATGTTAAGTCAGGTCCAGCCACCAAAAGGAAAGCAAGCCAGGCTGCAACAGCGAGGCGCCCTCATAACCTGGGGCAGGTACTGCCCTCGGAATCACTGCTGTACCCAGTCAGAGCAACAGGCAGCCAGCTCTCCACCCAAGGTGACAGCCCAGACCCTGCACTGCTGTTGGCATCCTCCTGCACCCCCGCCTCTGGCAAATATAAGGAGGAAGGGAAGGAGGGGGTGCTCCCCCGAAGTGGAGAACATATGGCTGCAAAACCACGTCAGATCAAACACATGGCAGCCTTCCTGGCAGCCGGCCGCTCTATTAATACCTGAATGTGTGCAGGGGTGGGTGCTAGGAAGGTAGGAGGTAGAAGGGAAGGGAGGGGCCCTGAGCCTAAGCCCCCTGAGCTACCAATAGGGTGCCACCCTCTAGAACACTACCTCTGAACACACACGCACGCACACACACACACACACACACACACACACACACTCCTTCTATGTGTTTTTAAGCAGTGAGGCAGAGAGGGGCAGGTGAACTATCCATTACACTGAAACCCAGTCCAGCTTCTTCCTGCCCTTTGCTGTGTGATGCTAGGCAAATTTCTGAGCTCTCTGATCCTAAGATACACTCTTCCGCTCGTAAAAACTTGTCACTATTTCCCTTCCTTTTCCTCCTCTGAGAGGCTGCTATGGCAGGGAGAGCTTTCTGAAAAGAAGGTATCTGCTCCGTGGGCTATTGCTCTGCCCTGTGTCACTTCCTACTCCTTCGTCTTCTCAGGACCAGTCACAGGGCAAAGAGGGGTAGCTTTACACCCCATACAGGACAGGCAGTCCCAGGGGTGTGTAGTGTGAACTTGGGGATCCTGGGTGCTGCAAGAAGCACTCTAGCCACTGGCAAATGCCTCAGTGGCTGTGTGGGAACACAAGGCTGAGCAAACACCAGCAACTCTGCCCCAGTCCATCATCTCCAACACGCCTGGGTTCCAGGAAGCTCAGAGCAGGCACAGGGACTAGAGTATGCCCAGGTGTTTTCTGCGACTGGACACTGTGAAAGCCCCGTACCTACATGATGTAGGGGTCCTGTGGGTGCTCAGTCCCAGCCCCAGAGGCTTCAGAGTGGACCTTCGCGTGTGGGGCGAGCAGACTGGGGTCCCCAGGACTGGGAGGGGAGAACAAACAACTCGGAACATCGAGGCGGGAAAAGCCAGTCCCTAACATCCCCCGCTGACCGCTCAGCTCTCAGACCCACTCCTTTCCTTAGAACCCCGCCAGAAGAGCCCGGACGCGAGAAAGTTGGGGCGGGGGGCCGACCCGAGATCCCAGGGCGAACCCACCGCTGAGCCCCCTTCCCCAGCCCCCGAGCCTCGGCCTTCCAGCTTGGAGCCCTCGGCTCGAATCTCCGGCCCGCCCAGGCCCCGGGCTCGCCCCGCTGCAGTCCCTGGGCTCCGATCCCCGCCGCGCCCCTCCGCAGCCCCCCGCTCTCGGTCGCCCCCCGGGCAGCCCCTACCTGCGGCCGCGGGCTCGGGGAGCAGCAGAACCGCCAGACCCGCCAGCAGCAGCAGCGGCGGCGGCGGCGGCCGCGGTAGCGGTGGGAGCCCCGACCGCCCCATGCTCCGCCTCAGCGCCATCGGCGGCGACGCCGCACCATGCCGGGCCCGGCCCGCGAGCGACCAGGGAGGAGGGAGGAGAAGGAGGAGGGAGGAGGAGGAGGAGGGCCGAGGGAGGGACGGGGGCCGGCCCGGGGGGCGGCGCTGGGGCTGGGGCTCTGAGACCCGCGCCCGCTGCGAGTCGCCGCGGCGGCTGTCAGCCACGCGGGGTCCCCGGGGCCGCTCCTGGGCCACCGCGCTCCTTCCACAGCCGTCGCCGCCGTCGCCGCCGCCGCTGATTCATGTTCTTCTTGGAACCGCCGCCTCCTCCCCGGCCCGCCCGCTCTCAGTCCGAGCTCGTACCGCCCCCCCGCGGAACCCCGGGAGGCTCGCTCCGGGCACCAACCTAGTAGCTGCCAGCCAGCCGGGCCTCCGACCGACCTCCACCCACAGACCTCCGTAGCCCCGGCCGGCACCCGCGGTCCCAGAGAATACCACAGTGCAGAACCCAAGGACCTGGCTGGGTCCCCTAGATGGGCACCCCAGCCACGCCCCTCCTTTCCTTAAATACACCCCAGCATCTTTTCCAACCCAGCACTCTAGATCCTTCCCTCAAAACCTTCCTAGAAACCTCTACCACACTCCAACTTTTGTCCAGACACTGATCACAGAACCCAGCACCCTCCTCTCAGCACAGAAAATTTCCCCTGGATACTTCCAACCATCAGGCCCTGAAATTGTGGTGACTCAGTACTCCCCCCACAGGACCTACTAGCACACCTTCGTGCCTCATTCATGAGTTTTTCACCCAGATTCCCTATATTCATATTCCACTTTCCACCCCTTTATCTCCAAGACCTTGGGCCTTGGGTCTTGAGTTCTGAGATCTTGGTAATCCTCTGGTTTTATCCGATGTCGCCACTGTTACACTCATAGGTTAAAGGGCCTATGGCCCACATCTCTGGGGGACTGTCATTCTTCCTAGTTGCTCCCTCTGCTTCTAGCCCCCATCCCTCAGGATATGATATGAAAGTTGGCTGTGTTCTCACAATATCCAATAAAACATTAGCTATTAGTAGATTACCTTGCACATAGTAGGCACTCCATAAATAGACAGATGCTTGTTAAATGAATGAATAATTGCCTTAGAGCTTGGCCTGCCCCCCCACCAGTAATCAAGGAGGTAGCTGTGTCCACAGACATCCTGTCTGGCCGATAAAGAGCTGGTTACAAACCCATTTTTACCAAATGTCCCCTTCCTTTTGCCCTTGCCTTTAGGGGTCCCCAGGACCAGAACTCCAGAGGGCAAGTCCCAGAAGTACTGGGTGGGGAGGAGGGACAAGCCACTCGTTTTCCCCTCTTCCTCACCTTCCATTTCCCTGAAGCCTCATTGGATCTTTCAAAGGATTCTCCTTCTGAGCAGCAGAGGCCTGCCTCTTCCTCCTCTTGGCCCCATCAATGCTTGTTTATTTATTATATTAATGAGAACAACAGCAGTTCTGGCGGCAGCCTCAGACCCAGCTGGGGGCGCCCCCAGGCGGCAGCACAGGGAAAGTGCTGTCAGAGTTGGATGGCGGGGGCCTTGAGTGTCCGTTTAACTGAGAGCTCAGGCAGTCTTCTGAGGCGCTATGGTTCGGCTTTGGGACTCTTTCCTAAAGGAAAAGTCTAGATCCGTTCCAGAATCCACAGTTTCGGAGCTTGAGCTGAGTCGGATCAGGGCAGGCAATAGTCTAGGGCTGAAGCCAGATTCACCCGGGCCGCGGCTACTGCGACGGAGTGGCTGCTGCAGCCCTGCACTTGGGCACTTGTCATTTCTCAAGGTCCTCTCCCCCAACTCTCCTCTCAGGAGGCGACTTAAGTTTCCAGTGAAAGGAAATTGTTGACTCTGGCTGACACTGGAAAGACCGCTCCTAGAGGATGTTGAACTTGGAGCCCAAACCTGGCCTTTTAACTTCCTCTTCTCCTCTATCCCAACCCCGCCCGCCATTATTTCCTGAACTCTGATGAGAATCCCAGCCAGTCCAAGGACCATCCGTGGCCACCAGGCAAAATGGGTTTCCGGAGCACCTGCCTCTGCATTCTCCACTCAGTCTTTATTTTCTTTCTTTTTTTTTCTTTGTTTGGTCACTCCAGGCATCACATGGGATCTTAGTTCCCCTACCAGGGATTGAACCCATGCCCCCTGCATTGGAAGCAGGGAGTCTTAACCACTGGACTACCAGGGAAGTCCTTCTCCTCTCACAGACTTGACAAACTTCCTACCTCAGGTTACCAGCCCCAGGGGCAGCGTACTGTTCCTGTGGGGCCTGGTGACTGGAATGCCTGCCTCCTCTACCCCTGCTTCTGAACCCCTCTCAAGTCTTAATATTTCTGCTTGTGGGGTAGGGAGGACTGTGGAGTCCTGGCCTTCAGACTTTGTGCTCCTACATAGAGTTCTTGCCTTCCTCAGCCCTCACAAACGACTCTTACCCATCTCCCCCACCTTTCTGTCTCTCTGGACACAGTAAAGAAACATACTTTAAGGATATGTGAGCAGGTGTGATTTTGTGGAAGATGTGTGTAGGTGGGTGAGAGGGTGTGCATTATGATGTATGAGGGAGGGTGTGCATTTGTGCAAACCCTAAATGTGACTGACGCTTTGTGGGTGGATGGGGAGAGGATGTGTGTGTGTGACTGGAGGAGGTTGGCTGCCTGTGCAAATACATGCCTGCAAAAATCTCCCTTCCTTTTGTAAATGCATTGCTTGGAAGGAAACTAATCAAATCAACAGGAAATGTATTTGACCTAACATAGGAGCAGATGTCCAAGTGGTTCCTGTCCTCAAAACAGAAGCAGAGCCAGCTATGATCTATCCCACCAGAGAGGAAAGGCCAGCAGCAGCCCCTTATTATGGGTGGAGCCGGGTTGGGCCTTGGCATCACCCTACTCATGTGAAATAGGTATGTGCCCATTCTCTGCCTTTTACAATCCATGACTGTCCAAGGAGGTCAAGGAGCAAGAGAAGAAAAAGACAAAACTGGAAATGAAAGCCACCTGCCCATAGCAACAGAATACCTTGATGACAATTTCCAGCAGTCTCAGGAAGTAGCTGCTTCAGCTTTCTCAGAGTTAGGACTCCTCCTCCACAAGAGAAGGAAGTCATGGGGTCATGGCAGTCTTGCTGGCCCTGTGAGCAAGGCTATATTCTTTCCCAACTACTGGTTAAAGAGGTTAAGAGTTGGGAAGTTTCCTTTAAGGCATGGGGCAGCCAACGGGATCTGTTCCTCATCACCTTAGAGAAGCAGGGAATCTATGAGTTTAGGGTTTGGAGGAAAACTACCTTACGGTAGTCACAGGCGCTGGGGACTATTGCTGTACCTGCCAAACTCCCCTTGCCTGAAATCTGTAAATCAGAAACAATGCCACACCTTGCTCAGTTGACGATAAAGCAAAAAAGTAAGTTTCTAGGAGAGACCACACTCTGAAAGGGGGATTTTCAAATGAGCAGATTTTTTACCAAAAGTAGATTTAGGAAATAAGGAGAAAGCAGTAAGTCTGGCGTTTCTGAAATAGCAGGTGAGTCCAAACACGTGGGAAAAAACCAACTGTACTCTTCAAAATTTCACTGAGGGATGGCCCTGAGAAGAAGAGTGTAGTAAGTATGTGTGTGTGTGTGAATGCCATGTATCTAGCTGTCTATAGTTCTTTTTTTTTTTTGAACTGCTTTAATAGCAACATGGTAATTTAGGCTATTTTAAAAACCCTTTTTTATTATGAAATATTTTAAACATATGCACAAGTAGAACAGTATAATGAATCTCCAAAGTACCCTTCATTCTGCTTCAATGATTATCTTAGCCAATTGTGTTGTATTATTCCAATTTATTTTTATTATTTTGCTGGAGTTTTAAAGCCAAATCTTGGCCATATGATTAATTTCAGCTGTAAATATTACACTGTGTATCTGTAACAGGCTTTAAAAAACTCACCCACATATAGATTCAGATAGTTACATATAGAAATATTTATAGATATGTGTATATGTTACACATACACATGTATTCCCCTTGTCAGCTGAGAAGGGCCCAAAAGCAAGACATTCCAGTAGCAATGAGTATATCTAGCACCCAAATCTTGGTTTCTAATATCATTTTCCAATATAAGAGAATCAAGGGTTCTTGGAGAAATGGCTGATTCTAGGGCTGGGGCAGGAAATATACAAAATGAACTTGGAGCATTTCGTAGTGCCAGAAAGTAAGAAAGTGTTCAAAAACAAAAGCAGAAAACACAGATCAAGCATATACACACAGGGAATTCTGTCCAGTGGTGAGGACTCTCAGTTCTCCAAACTCTCTCTCCAAACTCATAACCTCAGTCTAATCATGAGAAAATCCTCAGGCAAATCTCATTGACAGGATATGGCACAAAATACCCTACCAGCACTATTCTAAACTGTCCAAGTCATTAAAAAAAAAAAAAACCCTCTATGAAGCTGTGACAGCCAAGAGAGCCTAAGGAGTCATGATAATGAAATGTAATGTGGTATCCTGGACGGAACAGAAAAAGGACATTAGGGAAAAGTTGAGGAAACCTGAATAAAGTATGGACTTTAGTCATACTATGTCAAATATTGGTTTATTAATACCAACAGACCTATCATATTAATGATAGATGCTACTGTGTTTAGGATGACTGGAATGTTTCTTTCTTTCAGTTCAGTTGCTCAGTCGTGATCAACTCTCTGCGACCCCATGAACTGCAGCACACCAGGCTTCCCTGTCCATCACCAACTCCCAGAGTTTACTCAAACCCATGTCCATCAAGTCGGTGATGCCATCCAAAACATCTCATCCTCTGTCGTTCCCTTCTCCTCCTGCCCCCGATCCGTCCCGGCATCAGGGCCTTTTCCAATGAGTCAACTCCTCGCATGAGGTGGCCAAAGTATTGGAGTTTCACCTTTAGCATCAGTCCATCCAATGAACACCCGGGACTGATCTCCTTTAGGATGGACTGGTTGGATCTTCTTGCAGTCCAAGGGACTCTCAAGAGTCTTCTCCAACACCATAGTTCAAAAGCATCAATTTTTCAGTGCTCAGCTTTCTTCACAGTCCTACTCTCACATCCAGACATGACCACTGGAAAAACCATAGCCCTGACCAGATGGACATTTGTTGGCAAAGTAATGTCTCTGCTTTTTAATATGCTATCTAGGTTGGTCATAACTTTCCTTCCAAGGAGTGTCTTTTAATTTCATGGCTGCAATCACCATCCGCAGTGATTTTGGAGCCCAAAAAATTAAAGTCTGTCACTGTTTCCA